CCCTTTGCTCCTAGTAGCTGTAGCTACTTGCTCCTAGTAGTACGGCCAGGAGCCCCTAGTAGCGTTCTTGCTCCTAGTAGCAATGCCCTTTGCTCCTAGTAGCTTCTTGCTACTAGTAGGTTCTTGTTACTAGGCCATGGCCTTCAACTTACTTGCGATGGCCTCCACCTAATAGCGTGCAAACTACTTTCTGAATGGATGGATGATAGATGATAATTAGGACACAATAGGATTTCTTAGCTAATAGGCTTATGGATGCTTATGGAGTCCGGCAAAACTGTTGCCGTCTGAGCGCCGATGGGGACTCATCGGACCCATCAGAGGCACAAAAGGATCGCTCCCTAAATCTCGAGGAGCCTTCAATCGGCCAAGCGATGCTACCACAACTTATGCTGCAAAAAGCGCAACGGCTGGTGCTGTCGGAAACATGGAGCATATAAAAGATCTGAAACATAAAAGAAAGCCTCCATTGTCTTGAGTCCGTTGTAACAGCGTCCATTTTGGCGAACGAAGCAGGTTAGTTTCACGACTGGAGAATGCAATGATGTACTTCACACCTGGAAGTTGTGAAGGCTTCGTCTTGGTTTGGGCTCCTAGCAGCGAAATTATGCATGACATCTCGAAGGCTTCCCTTTCTTTGTTTAGGAAGGGGAGTTAGACGGAGTTAGACAGTGAAGACGGAAGGCTCCAATAGCTAGCTTAGTCTGCGAGAGGAAGCTGCTAACTAGTAGCAATGATGCAGTCGAGCTGGGGTTTAAGGCTTTATATAGACATTTTTCTTCATTATCTTATTGTTTTCTCTTCACAAACGTAGTTAAAGTGCGGCATGGTCCGCATGAAAGCAATCATGTCTTGTTGTGCTTGCAACTGAAGCAGTGAACCGCAGTCAGTGAACCTCAAGTAAAGTTTCCCTAACCTAAACATCATTGAACATCGCCATTAGGTTGGAGGCCATTGCCATTAGGTTCATTAGATCAATGATGCGAGGCAAAGAATGCGTCTGATTGCTTAGCAGTGGACGCTATTTGTTAGCTACTTCCTATTGCCGGCCTACCCCACCTACAACCTGGACCTTAAGGGAGGCCTTGGTTTGTTCATGTGACCATGTGCTTTCTTTCGTTCTTTCTTTCTGACGGAGCAAGCAGGAACTCACCCTGACAAGCTGTCGTGGCCTCAGTAATTAACTCTTTGCCATGACATCAACACGCCCTGTTTAGGTATTTATTTATTCCGTTTCTATTTGGTCTTTGTTCATGTTCTTCTTCTTCTTCTATTATTCTACTTTCTCTATCTTTCCCTTCCTTTTCTTTTTCGACCTTTCTACTTGAAACCAAATTATTATATAGTGCGAGCGCTTCTTCAAGGAAGCTCCCGCCCTTGAAGAGGCGTGAGCTATCCTGCGTCCTAGCTAGGAGGGAACTTCTCCTAGTAGCGAACTAGTCGCCTTAATTAAGTAGGAGCGGGCTTGAAAGAAAAGACTCCTAGATATGTTCGATCTTTTCCTCCAAACACAAGCTCCTCTGGCTCTTCCGCAAGCTCCGTTTCATCTTCTTCGTCACTCGAAGGCTTTCTCAAAGGTGCTGCCTGGCAATTCTGGCTACATCGAGGGCGACAAGACACAGCATGCACAAAGAAAATGCATACAGTTGTAAGTTGTTCTAATATTGACCACATTTCCAAGAACAGGAAACATCGAAAACCATGGCCTGCTTCCTGCTAGAGTCTATCTTGCAGCATTCAAATGCAACTTGCGTAGGCTGGGCACAAGATGGGCCTTTGGCCGAATGAGGTTCTGCATGATGCGGCCGCCAATGCGGCCCATGCGCTGCACTTTCTCAATCGGGCTTCGAGGTGGAGCCTGGAATTCAAGTCGAAAGGATCCCAAAGGAAACGAGAAGAGAAGTAACAAGAAGCTACTAGTAACAAGGGCATCGCTACTAGGAGCAAGGACGCTACTAGTAGCTCCTGGCCTTACTACTAGTAACAAGAAGCTACTAGTAACACGCATGAAACAAGAGTTTCGCTTGCTTTGAACTTTTGGGCCGAGGCCTCAATCTGGGCAGCTTAAGACTGGTTAGCACTGGTTGCTTCATCTGAAACACTTGTCGTTTATGCTTCATATCTTGTCCAAGCAAGGGACTCGTGTTTCTTCTTCCTGGCATCAAACCACTAGGACATGAGCTGTGCCACCTTTGCAATCTGCGTATCCATGCCGATTTCAAGCATGGCCGCCGCACCCTCATCTCTTCATCCACTTCTTCTTGATATCGTTCTAGAACATTAAAAAACCAATCTTGACCTCAAACAAGGGCATCGCTACCAGTAACAGGTGCATCGCTAACAAGCTCGCGGAAGTGAGGGAAGCACCACAACAAAAATCAACAAAATCTTTGATTTGAGGGGCGAACAGCACCAAAGGAGCATTGCCAAAAGTAGGACGACCTGAGATATCGAGCAACCTTCATACCCTCCTGCTCACTCTAGCTGAGCCAGCTGCAATCAAAACTTGGGCTATGATGCCCTGAGAAGATTGCCACCTCGGACTCCAAAGGGTTACTAAGAGGAACGTCAAGTTTAGGGAAAGTACAACATCTAGGGTTGCTTATATACAACTTACAACTAAGAGGAAAGATCGAATCTAGGAAGTTGTGCTTTAAAGATCGAACCAAATCAATGGGTTTCTTCAAGGAAGCTCCCCCTGGCCCCTTGAAGAAGCCTGAATAGAGAGGCATGCGCAACAAATGCGGCCTACTTCATAGACAAAGGCTACTAACTGCTACTCACTACTACCTTACCTGAGCTAGAGCTACCTCCTCTCATCCCACCTCTTCCTTTCCATTTTGTCTTTTTGGTTGGAGGCCATCGCTGGTATTTGTTTCTTTAGACCTTTTTTTTCATGGTCCCTTCGTCAACGCCTTATTGGAGATGTACTTTGTGGACTTAACGGATGCCAAGGCACCAGGATTTGACATCTGCTGGCCCGTGATGAGACCATGCCTGGCACATCTGGTTGAAGCCCTGTTGGACATAGACAAAATTGTCAGCCAGGTGTGCCTGCACCGTGGAGTATTAATGGTCAAAAACTGAGCGCCCTGCCTCAAAATGCTGTTGACACCTAACATGCGGTCAGCATGCGCTTGAGGCAATCCAAGTATGCCAAGGCCAAGACTTGCCCGTGTGGTTGCCTCTCAAAGAATGGCAATCTGTCACACGTCTGTGGAGGCCCAAGTGAGTCACATTATGTTTCCAACCGGTACCGATTGTTCCTACGTAGTAGCGTCTTCTTACTAGGCATGCCCTTGTTACTAGTAGCGATGCCCTTTGTTACTAGTAGCGATGCGCTTTGTTGCGATGCACTTGTTCCTAGTAGCTTCCTCACAGTTGACCAATTTTCTTCAACCCGGTAGCAACAAAGCCAACTTGCCAGCAACACCCAGTTGGTAGGCATATTCCATCGTGTGGTTTGGACCGCTATTGCTGCACTCCTGAATGTTCGGTGTGCAAGATCTAGAGTGACAAAGTGCGTTGGCGGTCCTTGCCAACCTCCTTGAAGTTGAAGTAACAGGCACATTTTCGATACTCCCTGGACATCAGCAGGTTGGAGGCCATCGCTAGTAGGGTGAAGTAACAAGCATATGTTTTATATTCCCTTGACATCGGCAGGCTGGCATTGCATTGACAGCGTTGCTCTGCCCACATCTTGATTTGATGAAAAAGAACCTACTGAACCAGCATCTGCGACCGTTGTGGGGATCAAAGCGGGCAAATGCGGCTAGTGGAATAAGATTTTATCATTTACATTGGTATGTTTTGGAATATGTTCTTCTTTGCAGTATGGCTATCCGTGTTTGTGTGATATCTGAATATATATATATAGGTTCTAAGATAGTACAAGTTTGACCGAACCACTTCCGAGCCAAGCAACAGCAAATCCTTGGCACAACAAGGAGTCCATGCCTTCTCCAACACACTGCACATCCACATCTCTTGTCAGCTATTGCGCACCCAAGTGGCTGCATTGCCATCAAATTGGTACTTTGTGTTCCTGAGTGCTGGCCACTCCAACAAAAGTGTGCCATGTGATGAAATGCGATGAATTATCAATAGAAAATAGTGGATGGTCATGGATTCGTCGACTACACAAGAAAGCACCAAGAAAACAGTGCACGTCTATGTTTGCAATTTGCAATTAACACCAATTGACATCATCGATGTGCAAAAGCTTCCCTCATGCTAAGGTCACCGCGCTGAGGCCATGCAATCCATCAGCTTCAAAGAAGCATCAGGAATGCTTAGGACACAGGGCCTTGATGCTACTGCTTAGGGAACGAAGCACCAACACAACAAACACACCAAACACGAACGCTGCCATTCTTTGAGGTCAAACACGATGAACGAAGGATCACTAGGTTGCCTCGCCTCTTCCCCTCTACATATTCATCACTGGAAGGCAGCCTTGGGCGGTGCACCAACCAACGAACTTCGCACTAGGTGTCGAAAGAAAAAGCTGGGCTTGCTGCGGGTCGTTGCTCATGGCATGCTAGGCCAACGCATGTGTGGAAGGCATTTAACGCACATGAAGATACTAGGAACAAGTGCCTTACTAGTAGTAACAGGTGCCTTACTAGTAATAACAAGAAGCTACTAGGGGCTCCTGGCATCGCTACTAGGAACAAGGACGCTACTGGTATGTTCGCAGCCGTGCAACAAATGTGTCTGAACATCTGAAAGGACAGGTCCACCAGAGTTGCTCTTGAAGGTGACAAGAGTTGATTTCTCTGAACAAAGTACTGTAATTATGTAATTGCTCAATACAAAAAAAACGAAAAACAGTGTAATATATTTGGTGTGGTTGAGTCTGAGCACATCTGCAGGTCACCACTTGCTCCACTTGGATGCATCACACACAAACACACCAAGAGCCCCCCAAAGAGCAAACTCTGCCTCGACGACCTCTGCGTGTGTCATGACCTCGAAGAAACTTCAACTTGACTCGGTGACTCACATTGGGTCATCTTGGGGGCGCAAAAAAAGCACTCCAAATTGCTTCTTGCTACTAGTAGCGATGCACTTCTTACTAGTAGCTTCTTGCAATTGCTTTTGATCTTGCAAGAACTGCAGTTGAACTAATCACAAAAGCACTCCGATTCATCTCCACGGAATTCTTGTAAGCTGAGTCCTGTAGCTTTTCCTGCTTGTGAACGAGCATGTTTGGTTGGTTCAGTCAAATTCATGTTTGCCTTACACTAATGGACGGGATTTAATCCGTCTTGCAACAAACAAAGCTGCTGTGTACGTGTGTGCACTGAACTTGATTACCAGCACTGTTTGAAGGAGTGCTCGAGTGCCTACGAAATGTCAACTTTGCAGGCAGGTTTGAACATGAGGTGAGACTTTTTGTGGTTAGAAAGGCATGAGAAGGCACGACTAGACTGAACATGAGAAATTTTGCAGCTTTACTGAGGACTTTGCCTGGCAAGTCTTGCATCGAAAGCACTTTCGGTTCTTGGCGGTATGTGGTTCCATCAGCTCAACCTCGCGGATTCGGTTCTTAGCTCTGATCAGTTGTGAATAACAAGCAGCCCCGCCTGCTCCTGAAGAGGTCTGGCAACCGTACTATCATCAAAAGGCGCATGGTTGTAGTCCGTCATTTGGGCACCTGCTCAGTCAAAATCTAATTAGCAACATCATCGCTTCTAGCAGGCTTGGTAATGCTTGGTAACTCTCCAGAACAGGGTACCTACCCCCAAAGACCCTGAACTGCTTGGAGTATCCCCTCGCCGCAAGGCACATCCAGATCCTTTTTGCAGCCTTTTGACGCAGGTCTACATGTATGGATCAGCACTCAGCTCCTGCGCAAATGCTGATTCTTTTGGAGGAAAGCTTAGCCGGCAATGATTTGTAATGTTTCCTCGTCATCCTCATCCTGCGATGCCTCAAGGTCAGCGTCCTGCACCCCAAAATTCCACAAAAACACGCAAAAACACTCTGGAACTAGCATAATTACTAGAAATCATACCTGTGCATACTAACATATACTAATACTTAAGTTGGGTTCTAGATTCTAGATGGTTCTCGAAAGGTCGAGTCTCGACTATCGAGCACTCCTGCTGAAGCCTCTGGACAGCCAAGTCTGCCTCCTCAGTCCAACGTTGTCTCATGGAAGGGCTTGTCTGACGGGGAGTTGACTCATCCAGTTACTCACATTCAATATCACAGCCTAATAGCCTAATAGCGATGGCCTCCAACCTAATAGCGATGGACTTGTGAGCTTCATTCAATATCCATTGTTAGAAACAGGTGCATCAAAGGGCTCCTCTGGGCTTCCTTTGGGCTCGTCCTGTCTCTCATGCTATGGCGTGATCAAATTAATGCAGTTTCTCACTCTGCTCACAGCGAAAGAAGGGGACTTGAAGAAAGCTGGTCACAAAGCAATTGTGGCCAATTGGGAGGACGTCACCCGCATGAAACTGTGAATTGCCCTATTGTCAATGGACGTGCATTCACCTTTCGTTGAATCTGAATCTCATACCTGGGCTTTTGAAGCTTCAGCATCTTCGTGCTCCTGGCGTATTCTGGCTGAACCCAAAAAGTGCGAGCTGGACAAGCCAGCTTTCTCAGCTCGGATCACTTCAAAAACAACTATTCTATGCTATTCTAGGGTTTGCACTGCAGAATATCATTTTGAATTCAGACTGTTCACTGTTTTGAGTGCAGGTACTAGTGGAATTGAACCCAAAAGCACTGTCACTAGAGTGCGACTTGTTCTTTGACAAAAGCCGCTTGGCCCCAGAGTCCTCTTCTTGGTTGACGCTGTTGTGCAAGAGCTCTGACTCTGGACGTTCAACTTCCAACGGTGGCAATGGCTGTGAACGTGCCACCCAGTGGCAACCATCCGCTTCTTTCACCTTGGAAAGGAGCCCAGACTGAATGCGACGGCCTCCAACCTTCTAGCGACGGCCTCCAACCTAGTAGCGATTGCATTTGAGTCAATTTAAGCAATTGCAATTGCTTCAAGTGCTCTTGCTCAAAATTCTCAAAAATTACCGTCTAAGCCACTGATAAGACGGAGGACTTTAATGCTTCAAGCACGTCCTTCTCTTTGGCTTGGTGCTTTTGAGCGATCCGAGGGCAAGACCTGAGCCACATTGGTTCAGCTGAGGAACTGACTGGAAACATGATGACACAATTTTATGGAAAAACTATAACAAACGTATTTCTTTACTTCATTCATGTGTTATACTGCCGTTACACAAAAAGTCATGTGCCGAGCGGCATGATCCATTGCAGCTCTAGCCATCCCGGCTCCGGCTCAGAGGTGATTTTGTCTTGAAAAAACCAATCCTTCTTGAGATTCCGGTCCTGAGAGCTGATGTTCTGAGCACTGAAGTACCTGGACTCGTTTTTTCTGATTTTCTATTCCTTGATTCATTCCTTATTCCTTCCGTCCTTCGTTCCTTTCCCCCTTGCTTTGTTTGATGGTTACAATCTGCCTCCATCGTTTGCGATGTATGCTAGCAGCAAGTCAAGCCATTTCTTCTGAGCAAAGATTCCGAAAAGTAGTACTCCACCTGCCTGCGCACATCCTGGGCGTGTGAAGGGTTCTCTGTTGAATTACATTAATTGTTTCTGCCTTTTAAGGGGTCTCTCTCTCTCTCTCCCTCGCTTTGGCCTCGCTGTGGCTCCCTCTTTGGGCGTGTTTTGTGCAGCCCAAACACACGGAGGAAACTGGAACGAGAAGCACGGCCATGAAGATCCGCTTTGGGGACACCAGCAGCTGCTGCCTTCGCGTTTTCCCAACCCCCAACAATGTCAGCTGCCTTTGTGTCACTTGTGTTCTGATTGGAAAACCCAAAGGTCCAAACATCTAATAGAAATTTCCTCATGGTGACCCGCCTCTGCATCCAAACGACGGCGCTTCCGTGGAGCACTCGGAGCCTCACTTGGAGTTTCCTCCACCTCCGCCTCCAGAGAACCGGCCTCAGTTTCAAACGCTCAAGGACAATGCTATCCATTGATGCTTTGTTGATGCTTTGTTGCGTCCAAGTTAGAGGAAGTCAATGAATTCATCCATTGGTACACCACGATGTCTCAATTATGCTTTGATTAGTCGAGCTTGTTTTTGGCGGCTTTTGAACAAACAAATGTGATGCTTACACTACCAACAATGAGTCAGCCAAAATAATCTATAATAACAATAATATGTCATAGTCATATACTACATTCATACACTACAAATCCTCCCATTCTATCATGCCCTTTAACTTTCGCACGCTTGGTCCGCCTCACTCTCCTTGACCAACTCCTCATACTCGGCGAGGGCCTTCCAAAAGTGGGTTGCTTAAAGCCTCCAACCTAGGAGCGATGGCCTCCAACCTACTAGCGATGGCCAGCGTGGTCCAATTTCCGGACTCACAAGGTCTGCAACTGAAAATGTCGTGAATCACTGCACATTCTCATGCTCCCTGCACCAGTGAATCATGAAGATCACAGACCTACAACGAGGGTCCCCAACGCAGGTTCCCCAAATTGAAAAGGATTTTTTGGGATTGGCTATGTGTTGCTAAGTCGTGCCGAGTGTTGCTGTCACTGTTGCTCTGGAGTGTGGCTTGATAGATAAATAGCTTCGATTCACTCAGGCCCAATTTGTTGTGTTTCAGCACTGCTAGGCTCTAGTAAGGACATGTAAGCGATGTAAGGACTACTGCAAGCCTGACTACTGATCAGGCTTGTAGCTCTCAACACACAATTTGCTGGGTACCCCCACCTTATGGTACGGTGAAAAAGAACATTCCTGAACGGTTCATCCCAAAGCACGACGCGTCTGCACGTCCCGGTGGTCGTCCCGGGTGGTCGTCCCGAGTCTGTACGGTCCACTCCGGTTGCTCCGTTCGTAGCGTCCGATCGCTCCTAGTAGCGATGCCAGGAGTCCCTAGTAGCGTCCTTGTTACTACTAGTAAGGCACCTGTTACTACTAGCGTGGCACTTGTTACTAATAGCTT